ACAAATGAATGGTTTATGCTTTGGATTTTCAATTCAGAACAACCAATCTCCCTCCTTTCAACTTTTTGTAGGTCTGTCACATAAAATCTCTATGAAAGTCATTAAAATGCCAAAAAGACCTGAGCAATATTGATACTTTTGCAAGCCAGTGTGTGAAGAATGTACATATTCTGTCAGAAAGGTACACAAATTCTTGCAAAGGTTTGGATGGCCTATTTAAAAGTTATGTAAAACAGAGGTCCCCTACCTCACAAATCAACTCACATCATTTTGTACACAGCACCTCTTTATCACGGTGTAAACTTATTGTGTTTTGATTAATTTCAAATTGCTTGCCTTGCTTCAGTAGAGTGTGAAATGCACTTTCCCTTTTGTAGATTTTCAATTTCTATCATTGTAAGTGGGGGAGTGTTTGGGGGTAGTATCGGGTGGGCAATGAGAATGAACACATGGATGTCTGGTGTAATTAAGGAACTGAAGTATTAGAACAGGCAGTGCCTTCACCAGCTATAATTCATCAAACATGGTCTTAATTAAATTGTTTACACAGATGTCTCCAAGCTGGTTCCACTACCAGTCATTCCATTATAACAATGGAGTGTTATTACTGGATTCATAAGGAAAGTTTGATTTGCTGTTCTCTAAACTCTATACGGCCACATAAAATATAAATGAATTCCTGTTTGAGATTAGCTAATTTTAACAAGTGCTCTTTGGAAATTGTTTTGCATAGAGCCCCAGTTTTTTTTTTGTTGTTTTTTTTTAGCTTGTTCCACTGACGGGACAAAGGGAAGCACTTATCGTTAGGCATTAAATGCCTCTATGTCAATCTTTTTGTGTAGTGAACTACAAATCTAAAGTGCTTGTCATCATTTGAAGGATGACAAATAAAGGACAAATAAAATTGTATTATTTCCCATGAAACAGTGTCCATAGTGCTTTACAAGAGGGGGAGAATTCAGCCCTTATTCTCTTTTTAGCCAGTTAACTAAACACGTCTTTAAAGTGAGCCACACCTGCCACGGCTGAACAAAGAATGTAGCTGCTGTTTCTATCAGTCTCTTTTATTAGCCCACACCAGACCAATGGTCTGCCTGCCCTCATTCCCAGTGTTATCTCAGGGATTAAGGGTTTGCTGTCTTTGGCCACCCCGCTACCCCTCCTCTTTTGGTTATACAGAACAAACAATCTGTGGACCACCACAAAGGATAGGCATGCAGGCACTCAGTTGTCTATGCGAGCATTTAGAGAGAAGGAGTTACGCAGTGGAGTGAGACAGGAATAGCAGATTTGAGGTCTCCTTTTGATAGCTTTGGGACTTTCTTTTTTCCAAGAATACTTTAAATGAAACGAATGAGGGATTTGATGTGGTTGTCAACTCACAATGCAAAGGGCTTCAGCCCTTAGATTAAATTTGTAAAAAAAATAAATTCATTAATTAAAAAAGAAAATGCACTATTCAAACTTTTTTGGTAATAACAGGTATAAATCTTTTAGTGTAGCAATTAATGCACATCTTCTGTCTATCAACCACCTGTCGTGGATCCAAGAAAAATGGAGCAAGGAATTTTGTATGTATAGGTGGATGTTTCACAGGAGTCATTTCCGACTGTTAATTATCCCCCTATGTAAGTTATTGCTTTGCCACCCGACTCTCTGATTAACATCTACTTTCTTCTCAAGTGTATCTGCAACCTGAAGACGGCCTCATCAGCCAATGTCCCCAATATGAATTGAAAGAACTTTACATGTATCACGTTTGCATGAATGCTTGAGGTTTGAACAATTTCATACTTCCATGCACTGTCACTCCTGGATTAAAGTTCATCTCCTCTCCATCTGTGGAAGAAAAGGAGTGAAAACAAGTAACATTCAGCATAATCTTTAAAAGTGACTTGTATCCTTTTTTCATTTTTACCTGGTAAGTAAAGTCCAAAAAACCACCTTTTAAATAATAAGGACAATATCAAACCAAATCATTCCTAATTAGTCAGTAATTTGAAATTTGACAAACACTGAGTTGAAGTCTGCCTTTTATTAAAGGTGGAGAAAAAAGTGGGCTGACAACTGGCTGCATTATTCCATGGTCTCGCCGTCGTTTTCTTTACCTTGAAATCTTTTAAAAGGGATTTAAACCACAGTGACAAAATACTTTGAAAATGTTTAGAGTTTCAAAATAATTTTTGAAATCTTTATAAACAGTAATTGCATTCATTTAAGTTAGCAATTAAAAAAATTATAGGGTTTGTTGTGATCCATCCTTTGTGTTTTTGTTTTTGCCTCAGAATATATATATATAAATTCCAACAGGCTGCCAGAGAAGCACTTTAGGGTATCGATTAAAGTTTATCATGCTACCCCACCTGTCTGCCTCAGGATTCACCATTACTACTGAGAATCAAGAGAAAAGATGAAAAATCCAGAACTAAGTTCATCCTTTTTTTCCCTTTTATCCCCATCCAATAGTGGCAATAAAAGCAAAACATTTAATGTGAAATATAAGGTGTTTCAAAGCAGATGCCCCTCTTGGTCTCCTTTGCACGTATTCTACTTTGTATCCACTAGCCAAATTCATGGACATACCCACAGCGCACACACACCAAAAGACGACAAATTAGCTGTCAGTTTTTCTTCTCCATGTGACCTCAAAAGCCAAGAGAAAAGAGATAATGATCTTAGACTAAGGACGGTTATATAGACATAGATTCTGCCCCACACACACTTAAACTAGTCTGTCCAAGGACTTCAGGCTTTAGATTGACAGATCAAGGGGCAGACTTTCAGAAAGACACAAGATGCACATTTTGAATCGTGCATGACTGGGTTTAGCTTTTTAAAACTGAGTTGATAAATTGTGAGGCATGCATAAAATTAAAGGTACTATGATTAAAATTGTGTGAGAGAAATGCACATCCTGTGCAGGCTGTCTCCCATAAATGAGATGAATATTTTGTTGCTTAATTCATCATGCCCTGAATGGAACTACCAAGCAGCCATTTACATGCAGCCAAGTGACATATTATGCATTTAGAAACTAGACACTTAATAAAATTACTTTGTCTGCTTTTACCTAAACTTTTTAAGGTGCACTGTAGGACATACAAATGTTAGGTCAATGCAAACATTCAAACTGTTGGAATGTTTTTTGCTGTCATTATTATCAATAATGTTGCTTACACATTACGCATAAAACTATATTAACTAAGTACAAAATATATTTTCATACCTATTTTATTCTTTACATAACTACTAGGATATTTATTTCTGATTAGTAAACAGACATTAGTCTCTTAAAATATGATTAAGAGATGTATCATTCTTTATTTGCATTTCTATTTTTTTTTTATTTATGTCTGAAATGATTTTTATTTTCTCAATAATTAATAGAAAGTCTTTATTGGCATGGCAGCAATCAAAGCCTTCTAATTATGACTTGTCAGCTTTTTGCATTTTTCCATTGATATTTCAACAGTTTGTCTTTACTGATGTCTTTTAGTTTGGTGAGTCTTGTTGTCATGACCCAGATCTGACTGAATCTGACTGATAGATTATCAGTCAGATTCATGTTGTCTGGTTATGTCAGTCCAAAATGTTTAGGATTCTTTCCAGTTAGCAGACATTTAGTGAAATGAAAATATCACTTTCCCAAGTGTATAATCTTGAGTTTAACTTTAACTGAAATATTAAACTATTGACCTGATCTGTATTCATACTGTCAAACTTTATCTGCCTGGTCATTATACTTGTTTTCTTGAAATGTTTTGTCTGGGTACATACATGTATCTGTACATAAAAAAGTGAAACATTTCAAAGATAAATGAAATATTTGAAGTGACAAAGTTTGACAAAAAGGGACATACAAATGTTGTGAACAGTATTTGTACTGATATGCTGAAGTGGTTGCCTATTAATGGTATGATGTTATATTTCCATATTAAAATAAATTAGCTCAACTTCAAATTTGTCCTTTGAGGATTTTGAAATCATGATACTCAGTTTGTTGCCTTCATCATAATCACCAGATTGTCTTGTCTCCATGTTTGCTTCAAAGTGTTTACTGTGTGTGGGGGGGCTTCTTCCTGGTACTCCAGCTTTACACCCACAGTCTAAAATAGTCCAGACTGCCCTCAGGGTTTTTTGCATGCAGGGGTTTGTTTTCTTTGTGTTGACTCTATTGGAGTGACAACTTGTCTGGTGTATTCCACTTTTTGTCTGTTAAACAGGATTTGCATAAAGTTTGATATTTATGTATGTCTCTTGTAGTACTAGTGCAACTTTCTTTGTTGAGTACATTATTATTTAAGAATATATATCAATAAAAAATGAACAGAGAAATGATATCCTCTCTATATATTTTATTAAATACTATAACAAAAACATAACTTTATTTTTTCTTGGAAAAACAAAGTTTTTCTTGTTGCTTCCAAAAAACAAGCATTGTTTGAAATTCTTGTCTCAAACAATAGAAACAAGCATTTGTTTCCATTGTTTGAATAGAAACAAACACTTGAATTGTTCTTAGTCTGCAATTATTAAGTCTATACTGTATAAAAATTGAATGTGAACCTTCAAATGTTTTTCCTATCATCATATTCATCTTAAATATGTAGCCTATATTAAAATGTTTTTATGCTCTTAAAGAGTCGTTTTGTAGTTTGTATGTTTTCCATACTTATTATGTAAAGAACAATTTAAATTTAAATCATTAAGAAAGCATAGGACATTTCTATATTTAATTGCAAAGTTATTTTCATACCTTGGATTGATCACTGGCTTCACACTAATCCCTTTGTCCATCAGGGAAGCAGAACCCTTCCAGACTAATGTAACTGTACCCCCCACTAATGACAGCAAATAGCCTTGTCGGCTAGATGACAGCAGCTGAGAACAATACTTAATGTTGACATCACTTTACATCTATTTTAGGTTTCTTCCTTTTATAGTGAGGTGTTTGAAATTGCTAGGCTGCTCCCCAGACACAGCACATATAAAACATGGAAAGAGGAGGTTCCCTCTGTGCTTGAGAGTCATTTCAGCTCTGCTCAGCCTCTTGTTCATTTCTCTCCAAGTCCCAGCTCAAACACCTACATTTCTTTTTAGCATGCCACCCAAGAAGGTTGAACCGAAGAAACCTGAGCCCAAGAAGCCAGAACCGAAGAAAGATGCAGCTCCAGCTGCTAAACCAGCACCTCCTCCAGAGCCACTTCCTGAACCGCCCAAGGAGCCTGACTTTGATCCAAAGAGTGTTGCTATCGAGTTCTCAACTGATCAGATTGAGGAGTTCAAGGAGGCATTTACCTTGTTTGACCGCACACCAACTGGGGAAATGAAGATCACGTATGCCCAGTGTGGGGATGTGATGCGAGCTCTGGGCCAGAACCCGACCAACGCTGATGTACTGAAAGTCCTTGGGAAGCCACGGCCAGAAGACATGAACATTAAAATGCTGGACTTTGAGACTTTCCTGCCAATGCTTCAACACATTTCCCGTGCAAAGGATCAAGGCAACTTTGAGGATTTTGTGGAAGGGCTCAGGGTTTTTGACAAAGAAGGCAACGGCACCATTATGGGAGCAGAGCTTCGCCATGTGCTCGCAACGCTTGGCGAGAGGATGACAGAAGACGAAGTGGACAGACTGATGGCTGGACAGGAGGATGCCAATGGGTGTATCAACTATACCTCATTTGTAAAGCACATCCTCTCTGGTTAACGAGGACATTCAACCAAAAAACACAAACCTTGTTTTTGTCACTTATTGGATCATTTTATATTTAGAGGTGAGATTGATCTGAAAGCACTGAAAATATGTTGATGCTGTTATACTCAGAAGATACTTTTGAGCAGAAAATGAAATTGTAAGTTGCTCTTTTGAATAAACCTTCTTAATAAAAATGTCAATAATTTACCATTGGCAATGAAGATACATTGATTAATAAAGCAATCATGATTACTACATGCATTAAAAGTGACTTTTCAGTATACTACACATTTAATTTAGAAGAAAGAAGGACCACACATGAAAATGCACATTCATGTACACACCTTGACAAATAGTTTTCACGTAATCTGGAAAAGCAGAAAAGGAAAATAAATATTTGGTTCCATCTTTAAAAGGAGAAAACATTTTTTTTCTCAATTCTGCTTCAAAAGAACTGAGTTTCAATAAGCTTGCTTTTGTGCAGCAGCTGCTTTGAATCAGCATATATATATTTCACTTACACACACATGCACACACACAGAAGAGCAAGACAGGTGCACCAAGGACAGACCTCACATTATTTGCAGAGCTGGCAGAACAATTTGCAATGCCTTTGCAAAGTAAATAAAGGTTTATATAAAGTGAAAAATGTATGAATATAACATATCTTGACTATTTCAAGTTTTACTTTGCAATAAAAAGTAAAACGAAGGATGTTCATAAATATTGCCCTTCACATAGTTGGATTACTAAACATGTAAATTATGACTACTTCATTCTAAATATTTTTTAAAATATGATTATTTATACATTTGAATTTTGGAGAGTTTACAAGAATAAACTTTAATACATAGCATGAATTAATTTTCATGATTGTAAACATGCTGTCAAAAAAATAATTATAACAATGATGATTTGTCATTATTTTGCTATCAGTGGACTTGAACCTTGGTGGCTGGAAAAAACATTGTACCTGATGTTATTATTGCCACCTATTTCAAGGTAACATAGTTCTTCTAAACTGATGGAATACATGGCAAACAAAAGAAAAATAATCTAAGGATGTTTGTTTTTTTGTATTAGTGACCTTACCTCATTTCTTTTAATTTGATTTGGTGCAGCTGATCTGCACCAAATCTTTACAGGACCACAGTATAAAAACAAATCAATCAGTAATTAACTGGTAGCAGCTTGAATGCGAGATGCTCTTCAGATTTATTCTCTCTTTTTGCACAACTGTAGAAGGAGTAGAAAGAAGCAGCTTAACAAGCAGAACTGGCACTTACTCTTTGCAGCTGTCAAGTGGATGCAAAAGAGGTTTTAAGTATGCTGGGCATCCAACTCCATAACCGGTTGAGCACTAGCCAGAAATTTAGACCCATCGAGATTAATCAGCAGCTGTTAAGCTTTAAACTTCTTTGTCAAATATGTAGAGCTCCTGTCTGAAAGGACACAAAAGCTTGTGCTTTTAAATGCCAGCAATGTAGAGAATTTGCCAAACAAAAGATGGACGCATCATGGTAAACATTAGTGTTATGGGCTATACTGTATGTTTAGCAAGGCTTTTATTGCACAGGTATCTCCCACTGTTGGGGTGATGGACTGCAGTATATTAAAATGTCAGCTGAACAAAATGCTCTAGGGCTGGATCAGCTCAAGTGGCAGCATAGAATACAATGGTAAACACAAACACATAAACAGATATAATCACCAAGCTTAATTTAGCCTAAGCTACAGTGCATAATTGCAAGATTTTCAGGTTTTTACTAAAGGCTTCATGCAACGTTCTGAAAACAAAGGGGTCTTTAACTGTAATTTACTTCCAGCTATTAAATTATATAATGGCTGTCTTATGTCTTTGTGTTTCTGGCAAAATGGAGCGCATTCATTAGGGAAATGTTTTTTTTTTTTTTTTTTTTTTTTTTTAATTGAAATAGATAACCCGTAAAAGACAAAAAAACAAACAGAAAAAACCACTGCTGAGGTATTCAATGTCATTTAAGCATACATTATAAAGTCAAAATTGTGAGATGTTCATGTGTTTGATTCCCTTGAAATATTCTGAAAGCAAACATGTTTTCAGCAAAGTCATGGCTAGTTTAATGCTCTTTTGCACGTTGGTTGTAAATTACCATAAAAGTAATGACAATGATAAATGGCAACCTCGATTATAAAACAACTGGGGAGGGAGGTATGCCAAAGTCAAGATCAGCCAGCATTAGTCACTGGCAGGTTTCCTTCTTACAAAATCTGCCTCAATTAGAAAAATTGCCAAAAAAATTACAGTTATTTCACTTATGAGACATTTGAAGATTGATGCTTTGTGAGCAAAAATTATTTGATCATCAAAGGAATTAATTAATTTAACTGGTCATTTTTGCATAGGTGCAAAAATTACACCTATGCACCTATCATAGTATGGTGGGATTGCTTAGACTCCTTCATGGGTAAAATACCCTCAAAGCTGTTTTCATTATCGTTCATTACACATGTTATGCCCTGCAATCAATATTCTCTCACCTTATGCAGCTTATCAACTGGATTAAAAGCAGTTCTAAGGGCAATATTGTGGAGTGTGTGTACTTGCAATCCTGAGACAATTGAGTCTGCCCTATTGAGAAATAAGCACAGATTTTAATTAAGGAGCTAATTGTGAAGTTCACATACAAATATATATATTTTTTTCAGTGGAGTCATTTAATCATAGATTATGAAACATCCCTCCATCTATACAGTTTTCTGGTTATGTAAACTGTGTGACTGTATTTCCTCTAGGAAAGAGAATATAGATGCTGCTCTTGAACTGAGCTAGATATGCTTTTTTTGAGGTGAAATCTCTCATGAGCTCTGTTCACACTCACAGCCATCAATGTGGTTTCTAAGCTGAAACACTGTGAAAAAGATAGTGTTTTTTTTTACAGAGCTGTTATAATTTCCTCCCATCTTCAACTTCAGCTACTGCATGACCTTGAATATTTTTTTTTATTTAAGCATGAAAGCAAGAGTTGCACAGAAAATGTGTTCTTGTCAACTGTAGTATGCAGAGAGCAGCTTTGCAGTAGCAGCTTTAAGGAAAACAAAAAGAATTTATGTTTTGTAGTTGGTGCTATGAACAAATTGTGGCTATATGACAAATTGCAAAAAAAAACTATGTATCTATTTGTGGTTACAAAATCTGTGCTAGTTTAAAGCACACATACTGTCTGAAAACTGAACCTTGGTGGCTTTTTTATGGCTATCTAAAGGTACATTTATATGATACATTTCTTATAAAACTCATCCATTAAATGTGATTTGATATATATATTTTCAATTGAAACAAATAATGTTTGTCCAAAAGAAAGATGGACACTGTAAAATCAAGAACAGACTTTTAATGGACTGGTAGACCAACACCAGCCTGGTAAAACCAGTCCCTTGTCCTACACTATTTTCTATACAGAGGGTTTGGGCTCCTGCTAATAGAAACCCTAATGCTTCCTATTTTAAATTTTACATAATTGCTAATGTTTGCCCATTAAATATGCAATGCACCTGTTTGACAGTATGAAGTTTACCAGAAATGTCCTGCACTCTGAACAACCATGTTTCACGGTAAAGAGAGAAGTGCCGATCCGAATGAGGCAGCTGTTTATGTTAATTCAGTATTTGGAAGTGTAGCCAGTATGGACGGAATGGCTTTGCTCACTGCCATTGCTAAAACTACAGGCAAAGTACAATTTTAAGGCAGCACAGAAAATCAACATCATCATTCACAACTTTTCCATCTGTTCGCTGATCAGTCTGGCAGGAAAACCACCAGAGGGAATCGAATAGGAGAGGAGAAAGCCCAGACTGTGCTGTAAGCTAGATTTTTTTCAGGCTGAGTTGCACAGCAAGGTGATGGCGAGGCCAGACCAATACTAACCACCTTGCAAAGTTTCTTTTTACAGCTTGAGATATCTGTTTGGGATTTGTCTGACTCAAGATCCTCTGGGCTTTTGGTGCTGAGAAGCGGTCCTAATATTTACTGAAAAGCTAGTGATCAGGCCCGAAACCTGGGAGTAGTGATGGAGTCTGACTTGAACCTTTCGAGCCACATAAAGACAGTTACAAAGTCGGCATTCTATCACCTGAAGAACAGGTGATAGAATGCCGGATTAGAGAACTAATGTCTCAGCTAGATCTAGAGAAACTCATCCATGTGTTTGTCTTTAGTCGCATTGATTATTGTAACAGCATCTTCACAGGCCTGTCCAACAAATCAATCAAACAGCTGCAGTTGATCCAGAAGCTGCTGCTCGCGTTCTCACTAGAACCAGGAAGATAGACCACATAACACCAGTTTTAAAGTCCTCCACTGACTCCTGTAGCTCAAAGAATAGATTTTAAAATACTGTTGTTAGTTTATAAATCACTGAACGGTTTAGCACCACAAAACATCAAAGATCTGCTGTTGTTGTATCAACCTTCCAGACTCTCAGGTCTTTTGGTTCTGGTCTGCTCTGCATCCCCAGAACCAGAACCAAAGAGGAGAAACAGCTTTCAGCATCTATGCACCAAAAATTTGGAACAAACTTCCAGAAAACTGTAAAACAGCAGAAACCCTGACTTCCTTCAAATCTCAAGTAAAAACGCACCTGTTTAGAATTGTATTTGAAATGTAATATGTAACAATGTGTTGTTTATTCCATGGTTGATTGATTGATTGATTGATTGATTGATCCCAAACCACCCGAGCCTTAAATTCATAGTAAAGTGTTACGTTTTGGTAACACTTTATTGTAAATAAGACTCTCATGACACCGTCATAAATATGACTTAACACCTGCCATGAACATGAGTAAGTCTTCATGAATATTTATGACCCTTGTCATAAAATGTCATTCCGTAAATCATGACACTTTTAACACAATGTTGACATTAATCAAAATGTCTTTATGACAACTTGACTTTAACCAAGGAATCATAATCTGACATAAATTTGTTAGACAAGTATTACTGATTGAACTTTTACTTTAATGACATAAAGCTACATAATTTTTAAAGTTTAATCAATAATACTTTTGTAACACATTTATGTCAGATTGTGATTTCTTGGTTAACGACAAGTTGTCACAACCTTATTCACAACACGTCAAATAGTGTTACCTATTTTGTTATTGTACTATTATGATCAAACTGATAAGTTTCACCATTCTTTGTGTTTGTGAAAAAATGCCTGAGATATTTTTTTTTCTCTGTATACTTCTGGTTTCAACTGTACTTTGCAGGTTTG